TATAAACACAGCACTGAACGTATGAGCGATTGTTAATATATACTTATTCTATACATGCTAAACTATAACCTGAGACAGACTATTCAAGTACTTTTTACATAAAACAGAACAAATCTGTGCAAGATAATGTGCAAAAGAGGTATTTAAGATTGAAGAAAACAAGTACTGCCACATGATTGTGTGATATATTCAACATGTAAACAGTTTCTGATTGAGTCCTTGTAAGCTGGAGTAAAGTGTGCGGTGCATATGGAGAGAAGAGTGTTGCTACAGGTTGTCAAGCCCACTCAGCTGTGTGAGGCACGCTCAGAAATGCATGTTTTTATAGAGATATGGAGTGATTGTGAGTGTCTGGTGCATATGGAGAGAGAGAGAGAGAGTTTCTAAAGGTGGTTTGTTCTTTTAAGTTTTTAATGTGCTCATGTGCAATGCTTCATGAGGTTGTAGATTTGTTTAGTCGCTATCTTTTTATCGGATTTTCATACTTTAGTGCTTTGAATTGAACTCTGTATTGTTGTGATTCTCCTAATAGCTGCGTAATTCGGTTGATGGATGATAAAACTTTCTTTTATTTAATCGCTATGGGAAAAAATCTCCCAGAAAGCCACTGAGAATAGTGGGTTACACTTAATAATGTGTTTTTCCTATCTGAATTGGGATGTTTTCTCCAGCTGCCTGTATAGATGCTGTATTGTCATAATAAAATGATTTGAATACTGGTTTTCTATTGGCTCTCCAGCACAGATCTGGACCTCCTCCACCTGGATTGTCCTGCCTCCTCTCACGGAAGTAGGCGGAGCTCTGTCTGTTTACACGACTCTACAGTAAACATTGAACTCTGTGGGAAAGAGGTGAAGATTCACATCACAACAGTAATATAATTATAGAACAGTAACATAGTTTTTCTGTATTTATGTAGTTTCTGACTTAAAAGGTGTGACCCAAGTGAATTTGCATATTTTATATATAGCTTTCGAAACGCCACATGCTGGCCACACCTGCTGGTCAAACTGTGTAAATGCAATAAAAAACTTGTGTGTTAGAATTGACTTTTCCAAACATATTGCAAACCTTAATTTGATAGTATAACCTATAAATGCACTTATCATTTTAAGGTCCTGTGAAGTGCTTTGAAATGTGCATTTTTATTAGATGTTTGACATAATCGCAACCGAAAGACTAAGAGAGGGTGGGACAGCGTAGCCCCTCCCCTTTTTATAAAACAGCCAATAGCATTTTGCTTTATTACTCCTCTGTTCAGTGTTTGAGTTCAAGAGCATTAAATGTGAAGGGTCTTGAAGGGGGCGGGGCATGTCAGATACTAGAGAGCATTTGATTGGTCAATTGATAGAAAAAGCAGTTTGGTCATGTAGCAGAAAGGGAGGAGCTAAACTAATGTCGTTTTCTAGAGTATGAAAAAACACTAATCATCTATGTTTGTCAAGTTGCCAGATCTTGTATGAAGCTCATCACCTCACACAATTGAGGAAATATTCAAATCTCAAACATTCTTTACAAAATCTGGCAACGTACATTATAACCCAGTTATGTTGTTGAATTTATTTTTAGTATAAAAATGACGTTCTGTTGGTGACAACACTAAACTCTACACTACATAGTGGAGTGTACAAGAGCGTAAGTGCATAGTGTGCCATTTGGGACGCAAATAGTGCTTCAAAAACAGCCATCATCGAAATAAAAGTCTGCGGCAGCTTCAGGATGACAGACTTTAACACATGATATAATTTATTTCTCCTTTATTTCCTACAGGAAGGCGACTAACAGATGTCCAACAGGAAGAAGTCTACAGCGAACCCTTCATCATCTCTCCCTCCTGCTGAAAATAAAGCTGTTTTTGCAACCAAAGAGAACTTTTGCAAAGCTAGAGTATTTGTACAGATAATTCAGTATTCAAGCAGAATGTATTCTATGATGCCTGTTAAACAGTATAATAATAATAAGCATTAGTCCTTCAGAAAGCACTACCTCAGACTATTGTTGAAGTGTGAAACCAGTCTTTCAGGATGACATTCCAGTTTCAGTCTCATCAAACCGGTTTCCCTCAGAGATCCTGCACTGGTGATGAAGAGCCACTGAACACTGCTCAATCTCTGCACATTCACCATCACAATAAACAGTTTCACTGAGAGACTGACCGCCTGCTCGCCTTTATTCGCGCTGTCTAGTTTCTTGATATTTGTTTTAGTTTGTGTTTTATTTATATTTATAATCATATTATTTTGGCTTAGTCTGGAAGGAATCTCCCTTTGACGTTGACGTGACAGGTGTGTGTGTGTGTGTGTGTGTGTGTGTGTGTGTGTGTGTGTGTGTGTGTGTGTGTGTCGGGACTCAGTCATTGACCTGAAGAAGTTGAAATGGCCTCAAAGAAAAACGAATCGAAGAAAAACGAGAAAACGGATAAATCTGAGAAGGTGTTAGCGGCGGAAAAAGAGCAGTTCGTCAAACTACAGGTGAGATTTTACCTCAGATATATTATAGCTCCTCGGATATTCATACTTCAGATTTCCTTTAGATATTCACTCTTATTCCTGATATAGGACGTCACGTTTCCTTAGATTTTTACATCGGATATATTCATACTTTATCTCAGATTTGCCACAGATACTCACTTATTCCTAATATATTCACACTTTACCTCAAAATTCAACAGTTCCAGAAATAATCACACCTGTTGTAGATATTTTCATACCTTACGTCAGATTTATCTTTAAGATTCTCAATTAACGTCACATTTTACCTCAGAGATGTTGATATTTTAATTCGGGTGTTCCTCAGATGTAATATAGGCTGATAGAGTACAGTTTTATTCCAGAAATATTCACACTTCACCTTAGATAATGTTATAACTTAAACTTAGGCCTCCAGTCGGATAACCAGCGTTCATTTTACCACAGACTCCTATTTTACCTTCCGTGTAACGTCATCACAGATATAACTCACTGATATATTTATATTTTACCTCAGGTTGATCTCAAACTGCATTTTTAAGGAAATGGGCTACTTGTGTTTTGTTTTCTGTGTTTCTTTCACTGAAATATGTAATACAACCGTAAACATTCAATGAACTGTTTTAAAATACACACTTATATAGTTTACTGTCACTGCGAGGTTTAATACCGTTTAACCATGATCTGTCGTTAGTTTTACAACTCGATTATGTATTTTTACTTGGTAATATTACGCTTGTAAGTAACGTTACGTAACTTACGTAGGCCTGGCCTACCATGTTTTCGAGGCTCTCTGGTATACATGTAAGTTAATATCACATAAATAATCCAGGACGTGCTAATACCCGTTTATATTACTTATTATTACTATATTACTAATTATATAAATATACACGTTTATATTTATAGTTTGGCCATGTACCATTCATTTATTAATTTTCTTTTCGGCTTAGTCCCTTTATTAATCAGGGGTCGCCACAGTGGAATGAACCGCCAACTTATCTAATTTTTGTTTTATGCAGCAGATGCCCTTCCAGCTGCATCCTGGGAAGTACTGGGAAACATGTACCATTGTGTTTCTAATATTTATACCATTTTAAAATCTTTTACCACTGTATTACTCATTTATAAATGTGTTACTTTTGACATCAGGGTGTGAATATGCTCTTAACATATCTTATTATATTTCTAAGATTCTTAATCAACATATTTCTCCTAATATGATATCAAGCACAAAGCAGCTTCACATAAATGGTCATAGTAACTGGATCAGGGTAGTTCAGTATTTAGTGTTTAAGTTCAGTTCCGTTTAGCTCAGTTCAGTGTGATTTAAAATCATTACTGAGAGTCCAAACACTGAAGAGCAAATTCATCGATGCGTAGCTCAACAGATCCTGAACCATGCGAGCCAGTGGCGACAGCGGACAGGGAAAAAACTTCATAGGAGAGTGAAGAAGAAAAAACCTTGAGAGAACCAGACTGAGGCCCCGTTTACACTAGTGCGTTTTAGTTTGAAAACGCATAAGTTTTGCTACGGTTACGCCATCCGTCCACACTACGCCGGAGTTCTCGAGCGCCGAAAACGGAGCGTTTCGAAAACGCTGGAGAGGCCGTTTTCATTCTGAAACGCTGCTGCTCCGTCTCAGTGTGGATGGGGAAAGACGGAGACGTCTGAAAACGGAGGCGGAGCTGCAAACGTTCGCCTATCTGATTGGGGCTTTTCCTCAATATTAAGTAGCTCACACACAGTTCAGTCTCGCATCCTCTTCTTGTAAGTTCAGACTTCGCATGTTTGATCAATTGCAGTCTCCCCCTTTTCAGTTTGATATGGAAAACATACCGAGGACACAGGTAAATATTCAAAGGGAACAGTGTATTTTATAACTTCATTCACATCACCTTGGCTACGTTGTTTCACTTTCTCAACAATAAAATGTAAACATGATTTAAGGAACTGCCTATTTTCATTTTAATATTAGCAACTTAACAGACAGCAGAAATGTTGAGGCGTCGTGCTGCATATATGAGCGTCATCTTCACTGTGTGGATATTTATAACAAAACGGAGCCGATAACAACTGCCTCCTTTCAATTTCAGTGAAAATACGAAACACAGCCTCTCTTTTGCTGAATATCAGTTTTAATAATCGATAATTATAAAAGTATAACATACAATAAGTTTATACATTGTAGGAAATAAAGGCAAGCGATCAGTCAATGTACCTGGATTAATCATTAACTTATCTTTGCGCTTAACCAAAACATGTTACCCGTGAACAAGTAACTTAATAGATTCCAATGACTAAAGTCAGGGAATTGGCCTATGTCGTTAGATAAAGACAACAACATGAATGAAATATCCCGTTTAATAAATATAGTGAGATTAGATCCAGCGGGAGATGCGTGATGAGCAGTCCGACAAGCAGAGCTCTCATCTGGGTAGAAATGCTGGATCGCTTGCCCGAGAGTGTGTGTGTGGTCACGTGATGTGCGTTTTCAGCGTTTTGGTGTGGACGGAGAGCTGTTCAGAAACGCTGGGTAAAACGCGAGTGTGGACGCGGATCGTTTTCATTCTACAACGCCGTTTTAAAACTAAAACGCACTAGTGTAAACGGGGCCTCAGTTTGGCACGACCATTTAATTTCTCCGCTGGCCAAAAGTCATGTGTAGAGCTGCAGTCTCAGCAGTGGAGGCTGGAAGATGGCCTCAGCGAAGACTCATCTGTCCCTGGAGCGTCACTGGAATCAGTCTCATGCTCTCCACTCCTCCATGACTCGATGTAGATTAACTTGCACGCATCGCTGCATTAATATTCTGTAATAAATTATAACGTAGATTAAAGTGCTCGCATATCTACACCATTATTACTGTAGTAAATTAGCCCAAGGTTATTCTTCCTGCGCCTTTTCCGCCGTTATAATGTTGCAAGCCAACACTGGGAAACACCCATACACTCTTGCTTTCACATTCATACACTACGACCAACTTAGCTTACTCAATTCACCTGTACCGCATGTTTTTGGACTGTGGGGGAAACCGGAGCACCTGCATGGGGAGAACATGCAAACTCCACACAGAAACACCAACTGACCCAGCCAGGACTCCAACCAGCAACCTTCTTGCTGTGAGGCGATTATGCTACCCACTGCGCCACCATGTTGCCCCTAAGATGTTACTAATATATGATATTATAACTGTACTGCTTAATGCATGAAAAACCAATGCATTACTCATGTGCATCATTTATTAATAATATATGATATTTAATCTTTATCTTTTTTCAGCTTCAAAGCATCAGCAAGTCCATCACCAGCGCTGAGGCTCCTATCAAAGAGAAATACGCCCGCAGTATCCTTAATAATAGAGCGTTGATTTATTGTGCATTGTGTGCTACTGTTTATGGTCTTGTTAAATACCAGTAGTTAAATAAAAATAACAGAGCATTGAGCAAATAATAGTGCAACAGTAAAAAAAAAAAAGACTTCCAACAGCAATAATCAAGAATGCATGAGTATCTACTGTCATGGCTTTGCAATCAATAAATGTGATTATAATGGAAGTCAATGAGGCAAAAACAGCACCAACACAACAGAATTTAAACATTTGACAAGAGTTGAGTTAACTTAATGGATTTGTGTTATTGGAACCCTGCATATTTAGAGTGTATTTGCGATATTGTTTCCTGTAAGAGTGTGTGTATGGTGTGTTTAGTCTTTATCCTGGCTCAGAGATCCTCCTGGGCACTCATACTGAGGGCGGCGCCGTCACCTTCTGGTCTCATGCGATCAGTCTGCCTCTGTCCAGCAATGCTATCCTCAGCTGGAAGTTCTGCCACATGGTGCACAAACTGCTGCGTGATGGACACCCAAACGTGAGTGCATATAACAGCAGTATATCCTCTTCATTTATCCTCATTTCTGTCAGTAATATCTCGCCGGGATTGGTTTGGGTTTTTTCAGATGGTGCGGGACAGCAGGAGTCACACCGCCGCCATCAGGCAGATGGGCATACTATGGGTCTGAAACACATTTACTGCATCTGTTTTTTTAACAACCAAACTTATTGCATTAATTATTTTTAATATTTTGTTTATTGCATCTTTTAAATTAACAATCAGATTTATTGTATTAGTTATTATCTTATAATTATATATATATATATATATATTTTTTTTTTTTTTAATTAAAAACCAGCTTTAGTGTTTCAGTTGTTATTATTATATAATTTTTTTATTTAAACTATTTATAAACAACCAGATTTATTGCATTCATTTTTATTATTTATTTTTTTATTGCATCAAACCAGATTTATTACATTGCTCATTATTATTACTGTTATTATCATTAGATTTATATTAACCACCAGATTTATTGCATTCTTTTTTTAATTGTATTTTCTAACAACCACATTTATTGTACTTGTTATTTTATTATTATTATTACATCTTTTTATTAACAACCAGCTTTGTTTCAGTTATAATTATTATTATTTTATTTTTTTATTCAAACTATTTATTAACTTACAAACAATTTATTGCATTACTTATTATTATTTATTTTTTATTGCATCATTTATTACCAAACCAGTTTTATTGCACTTAATATTATTAATATTATTATTTTTATTATTATTGTCATTATTATTAGATCCTTTTTATTAATGACCAGATTTATTGCATTCGTTTTTATGGTTTATTTTTTTATTGAATCATTTTATTACCAAACCAAATTTATTACATTACTTATTACTGTTATTATTATTATTAATAATATTATTATTATTACATTTTTCATTAGCAACCAGATTTATTGCATTCATTTTTTAATTGCATTTTTTTAATAACCAGGTTTGTTACATTAGATATTTTTTTGCATAATTTCTAGCCAGATTTTTTGCTTTAGTTATTATTATTATTATTTAATTATTTAATAAATTTATTAACAACCAAATTTATCGCATTTGTTTTTATTGTATTTTATACCAACCAAATTTATTGCATTAGTTATTATTATTATTATTTATTTATTATTGCATCATTTTATTAACAGCCAGGCTAAATAAAATAATGCATGCTTTGTGAGCAGATAATTGCCTTTTTAAATCATAATATTATAGTCTAAACAAATCAGTTATGGTAAACAATATATTGTTTGAAAGCCTAAAATGTCTTCCATATCTTCCATGTGAATTTCAAGTCAATGTTCAAAGGTGTGAGCAGTTAAAAGTTTAAATTACACAGTTTACTTTTAATTTCAACTAAATTAAAGTGTGAGTATTTTCTTGACAACTAGCAAAAGTTTGATGTATGCATTTTTAAAATGTATTTTATTTTGTTTCATGCCAAAATAATAGTTTTATGGTTATAGGTTATTATAATAACACTGGTATAATCTTCAGTGTGAATCTTTGCTTCATTCAGGGGAATCTTCATGACAGATATGGACATATCGTGGCGCTGTACTCCAAGCTGCTCTGCATCAAAATTGATTTTCATTTAAAGGCAAGTTTATTCTTTACTTCATTTGTCCGCAGACATTGTGAGATGCAAATAGTGGTGAGGAAAATGTCTTTACGTTTACACCCTAGATATCTTCATGCTCCTGAAATGTTTATTGTCTACATTTATCTACACCAGGGGTGTCCAAAGTCGATCCTGGAGGCCCGGAGTCCTGCTGAGTTTAGCTCCAACTTGTTTCAGCACCTGCCAGGAAGTTTCTAGTGTATCTAGTAAGAGCTTGATTAGCTGGTTCAGGTGTGTTTGATTAAGGTTGGAGCTAAACTCTCCGGGACAGCAGCCCTCCAGGACAGCCCTGATCCACACTATTTATGATTCATATTTTCATAGTTTAGTGTTAAGAAAGCAAAAAATTTAGTATTAAAGTATCAAAACAATACAATTAGAATGTATTTTTTATTTGTGTGTGTGTGTGTGTGTGTGTGTGTGTGTATGTGTGTGTGTGTGTGTGTGTGTGTCCTGCTCAATTGTATTTTTTGTAAACTAAAATGAATGAGTCTATTTTCACCTTAATGTTTTGCCTTGAAGCTGTCAATCACAGCTGTCAATCATAAGCACATGCCTCCCTTTGATAGCATCAAATTACTAAATAAATTAGAATTATTTTCACAAAAAATAACAGTTAAATCTGCATTTATGAGTCCTACCTAAAATGAGCAGAATCATCTTTTAGAAAAGGGAATTGTAAGCGGAATTTAGATTTTATTGTGGATTAAACTCCCATTTGTTTACATGGAGGGGGTGGGGTTTATGACCTGCACTGCATCCAGCCACTAGGGGACCTTGGATATTTACAAGAGTCCTGTTTTGACATTAAAGTATCACAGTTTGACAGAATGCTTATTAATTGTCGTCTGTTGTTGTTGTTATACTGCTGTTGTCATATATTTGCATTCTACATAATATTAAATCTGTATATTTTCCTCCTCAGCATCCGGAAATCCCTGCAAACCTTGAAGCCTCAGAGGAAGTTCTTGATAAAGTCATCGCCATTGATATCAATAAAGTGTAAGTGCGTTGATTCTGATATTTGTGATGAGAGGTGTCTTTTTGAATGGGTTTCTAATGTCTGCGAGTGTTTTGCGTGCTGCTTCCTCGCCTCGTGCTTTATCCGCCTGCTGCGGCTGGCATTACCGTTGCTTTCTGTGTGAAAAAGTCAACTCTGAGCGAAAGAAGCTGTTTTCTTGTGTATGTTGTTTGCCGCCTGTATCGACCTCTTCATCTCTGATTTTGACTATGCATCTGGATTACCCCTGTGATTCTGTTTGTGCACGTTTGATCGTTGCCTGTCTGATTATTCTCTGTTTAATAAACTGGATCCTTCATTCTGTCGTCCCTCAGTTACACTCATCCAGCGCCAGCTTCAACGCTCATTTTAATTCTGCTGATTATATTTTAAAAGATAATTATTAAAATTAAAAACATTACATTCACTTTTTTAAAACAGTAACTCAAATATAATTACTTAATTTTCTGTAAGTGATGCATTCCTTTACTCGTTACTTAGAAAAGTTATATCATTATGAAACTTGCGAAATTACAATTATAACAACACCAACAGCAGCACTCGCGCATAATACACAGCTGACTCAGTGGTTGCCTAGCAACATAAAAAGCACAGCACACACTCTCAGAACGGAAAAGTGAATCATTGAATAAGCTGTTCATGTAAATAAAGCTCACTGATGTTTGCGCAGGTTTGACATCACAGGTGAAGTTCTGGACTACATGGAAGCGGGTCTGAAACTGCAGGAAACAGGTGAGGAGTTCAGACTTTATTTGAACTTTTTGTCAAGCATAAACTGCTCCTGTGTGTAGCTCTAGTGTCCTCCACATCTGTCTCACTTAAACTTGAAACTCATCTGTTCACAATCTGTTCAAAACAGCATACAGTGACAGATGCTAGAGGCCATGGTCTTTAGCCTCCTTGTTAGCGCAACCAACTTCCATGTGGAAGGTCGCCGGTTAGATAGCAGCATGGAGCGGGTTGGGTGGTGTAGGACCGGCGGGGTTAAAACTGCACTTCTACATTTAGTGTTTTGTCTTTGTTTTTGTATCCTCTTCTCTATTTTTCATTTTGTAAGTTTATTAAATTGTTAAATTGTGTATATACAGTATATATGTTGCATAGTGACCTTGGGGTTCTTGAAAGGCGCTTTAAATAAAATATATTATTATTATTATTTATATTATTATTATTATCTCCTCCAAAGACTTCTGTTGTGATTTTTGACTGTTTTAGCTGTGAAATAACTCTCATCATACAGCGGAGTAATATGGAGCTGTAATACGCCCTAAACCTGCCGGAACTACTTTAACTGTGCCTTTATCTGACAATAACCAAACTAGGTATGCATGATATATCGACAGCTAATGTTGTGGGAAACGCATTACAAGTAACACAGTTACGTAATAATATTACTTTTCTAAGTAACGAGTACAGTAAAGCATTACTTGAAAAAATTAAGTAAAAGTAATGCAAAAGTAACGTAACGCATTACTTATCGTGAAGAGTAACTAAGTAACGCAACTAGTGACTTTTGGACAGGAACTCAATATTGTAATGCGATATCAGCTGAAAATTTAGATTTTTAATGCTGCATTCACACCAGATGCGGAAAGCACATCAAACGCGAGTGATTTACATGTTAAGTCAATGCAAGCGCACCAATAGACATCCTGCGGCGCGATACGCGCGAATGGAGCGTTTTGCGGGTTTGACATGCTTAACGTGTGTTTCGTGCGAATCGGTCGAGTACGAAAATCTGAACTTCAGCAGACATTCGTGCCGCGTTAACCAATCAGGAGCTTGCTCCTGTGGGGGCGTGATTGTGACGTATCGCCTGTTGTAGGTGTCCCGAGGGAAATCCTCCAGCCGACACTGACAAAAGGTTCATCAAACTGGGCTGGGCTCAGTCAGAAGCACCGCTGAAAGCCTCCGTCATCCAGGTTCAGTTTCTGGAGGAGTTTATGAGCTCACAGACCTGGATGCACCTCAGAATCTAGTGGACTCAGACACAGCTCTAAACATATCGATGCTGTTTTTCAGCCTTCATAAAGCACATTAACACTGTTATTTTCTTCATAAAATCCATGTTAACTATTTAGCTATGAAGCTAGAGTCACCAGGCAGACAGAAGCCCTGCCCATCACGCGAATCAGCGTCTGTTCTGAAGTGAATTTGACACGCGAATGAAGTGGGGTTTAACGTGTGAATGAAACGAGTATACTCAAATGTTCACGCGGCTATTTATCCGCGCGTTCCCCGTCTGGTGTGAACGCAGCATAATAATAGCGTTATCGGCCCAATAATAAAATTAAGCTGATATCTGTATGGTGATGAATTATGTATTATTTCAGCTGGTCAATCCATTTTACATGCTTGCTGGATGACACGATTGCTTATTATTGAGTTGCTATTTTGATTGGTTAGAATTATTCTGATTTTATTATTGAATTATTCGCCCCCATGTTTATTTTTCCCCAATTTCTGTTTAACAGATTTTTTCAGCACATTTCTAATCATATTAGTTTTATAACTCATCTCTAATAACTGATTTCTCTTCTCTTTGTCATGATGACTGTAAATAATATTAGACTAGATATTCTTCAAGACTTCAAGACACTTCTATACAGCTTAAAGTGACATGTAAAGGCTTCACTAGGGTAATTAGGGTAACTAGGCAGGTTAGGGTAATTAGGCAAGTTATTGTATAATGATGGTTTGTTCTGTAGACTATCCAAAAAGAAATTGCTTAAAGAGGCTAATAATATTGACCTTAAAATGGCTTAAAAAAAAAATAAAAACTGTGTTTATTCGAATTAAAATAAAACAAATAAGACTTTCTCCAGAAGACAAAATATTATCAGAAACACTGTGAACATTTCCTTGCTCTGTTAAACATCATTTGTAAAATATAAAAAAAGAAAATTCAAGGGGGGGGGGTGAATCTGCCTTCAGCTGTATATAGAAATTAATAGTTAATTCAATTAAATTAAATGTTTTTATCTTTTGTTTTTGAAATCGTGCATAAAAATTTGAAATGTATATTTATCAACCAAATCGGCATCCAAATCTAACGAGTCATTAATTATTGGTGTTGGTCAAAAATTCCAAATCGGTTCATCCCTAAAGCAAACACCTTAGAGTGCTGATCAGCCAATCAGAATCCAGCATTCATCAGACGTGCATGTGTTGTTCAGTTTTCCGTCAGATGGATTCCCACTCCACCAGCTCCACCACAGCTGTGGGTCAGTGTCGTCTGGCTCCGCTGGTTCTGCTCATCCAGGATTCTGGTCCGCTTTATCATTTCCTGGTCAAGCTGCTGTTCAAGCTGCACAGCCGTGAGTCTCGCTGTTTTCTGTCTCTCAGGATTCTTAAAAACAGGTCTTAAAAACAAGCACAGGCCCTTAAAAGTGCTTGAATGGTGTTTTGGTGTTCATTCGGAAGTTATGCTGTGCTGCAGTAGAGGAAGAAAATCTAACATTTAAATCAATGACAATTAATGCACAGTTTAGCAATATTTCAGAAAACACATTTTATTAAAGCTCTTTAAAAATGACTTCATTTTAGTTTAATTTATAATTTTTTAAATTATATTTTTAATGTAAATATAAAGTGCCAAAGAAATGCTATGTGTGGATTACAAATGTGCTAAATTTAAAGCTAATGGTGCTATAAAAAGAGTCAGAACCCTGCTCTCTGTATGGTTTACTGCATCGTCTTCACAGTGTTCATCAACTTGTGTGTGTTTCAGGAATACCGGTGGACGCTCTGTTAGGACACAGAGACCGATTCCGCGATCACTTCAACAGGTAACACTTATGCAAAATAACACAACAGGCTATTTTATTATCCGTAAACAATGTAAAATCTCACACAGCGGGGAAAACAAGTATGGAACACATCAGCATTTTTTCAGAAAACATATTTCTGAAGGTGCTGTTGTCTGATTTTCCCCAGAGAACAATCAAAGAAATCCCTATATGCAAAGAAAATAAACCTAATTAGTTTACACATTAAGTTCTGTATAACAAAATGAAATGACGCAGGGATATAGTGTTGAACACATGAAGAAAGGGCGGTGTGTTTCAGCAGTGAATGCCCAGACAGCAGCTGAAATCTCTCAGTAGTTCTTCTTTAGCAAGCCTCTGCCCTTCCTCAGTGTAAATGAAGATCAGCAGCTTCAGTCCAACATCTACATCAGCAGCAGGATGAAGATCAAACCAGGGTGGACATTTCAGCAAGACAATGATCCAAAACACAGCCGAGGAGACTCTCAGATGCTTTCAGAGAAAGAAAATCAAGCTGCTGAATTATCAAGATTCTGACACTGTTGAAGTCTGTGAGAAACACACATCTGCGACAATGTGTTCAATACTTACTTTCCTGGATGTAGATTTATTTAATTAAACAGCAAGATAACTCAGGCACCAACAACATTATGATAGAAATATGACAAAGTAAACCCACTGTAAAGCAGATTTTTCAGTAACAAGAAGGTTTTATTAGTTAATATATTTATGAACATGAACAAACAGTGAACAATACATTATTACAGTATTTAACATTAGTTATTGGAGATAAAGCAGTTCATTGTTAGTTCATCTTAACTTGCAGTGCGTTAACTAATGATAACCAGCATGCTTATGGATGTTAATAACACATTAGTGAATGATAAACTATGTAAAAATAAAAGTATAATCCAGCTTTTTAATGCTTTTTTTGCTTCGGAAGACAGAAATGAATGTCACAGTA